TCTTCTTCTTCTTCTTCTTCTTCTTCTTCTTCTTCTTCTTCTTCTTCTTCTTCTTCTTCTTTCTTCTTCTTCTTCTTCCTCTTCTTCTCAAGGGAGGGGAGGGGTAGAAGAAGCACCCTCGTGACAGGTTGGGATCATGCTTTATTGAAGCCCTTGTCATTAATAACCCCATTTGTCAGATGTTGGCTGTGATGCCAGCAGAGAACAGCATGTGGTATTGAGTGTTGAAGAATGTGCGTGTCTTAGTCTGGATACCCCAGCTGAGATGCCACCTTCTTTGTGTCCCGTGGGGCAGTGAGAATACCTTCTTGTTAGACTATTTTTTTGTATTGTGCAGTTCCCAGTGCAGCAAGTGCTCAGCTTTATTCGTTTTCTTGAGGCTGGATCTTCACGTGGGCCAGACCGGCCTTATACTCCTGATCCTTCTACCTCTGCCTCCGCAACACACCTGGCTGTGGTTAACAATATTTGAGTGTTAGAACAGTTGAAAAAAATTGTTTTGGAAACTTGTTGGTGATTTGAAAACAACAGCTTGAAATACCAGTCTATGATGACACTCTAAAGAGCTTTAAGCCTACACAAGAGAATTGTGAGGGCTAGGAGTGAGGCTCATGGCGGCCTGGGTTTCTGGGTGCACAAGGTCCTCATATATCCCCCCCCCCCCAGCACTGCAGAAACAAGAGAACTGTCCGATTTGGTGTGCAGTTCCCAATTAGCGTCATTAGGCGAAGTTTGAGAAAAGTGGAGACTGCATCCTCCTTCTGCCAGACTCTCTGGCCTCCCAACAGCTAGGTGACTTCTCCCCCATTTTGTTTTTACTATAGTAAAATATACGTATTATAACGTCTGTGTGCATGTTCGTGTGTGTGCACGCATGTTGGTGATGGTGCACTTATGTGTAGGTATGTGTGGAAGCCAGAGACTGACACTGTGTGTTTTCCCCAACCTTGCTCACTCTTGTTGGTATTTAGTAGGTATGTTGATTGACTTATGGGATGTGTCCCGTTGGAGCTGCGGCCTGTTCTTTCCTTTTTATTTCATGGCTAAGAGGACAGTGAGAGCTACTGTCTGTTGGGTCAGGAGTGATCGTGGTATCTTTGTATCTTAAAAGAGAATACGAAGTGATTTTGTGTGTGTCTGTCCTGGCCTTCTAGAATTTGCCAATGGTATGTAAACAAAGTCTGCCTTGTTTTTTTTTTTTTACCGTTAAGGAGATTGCCACAGTTCTGAGGAGGGCATGTTGTTGAAATAAAGTCTGAGCCACTGGCAAAGAGGGTCTTGAAGGTGCATTTCTCTGACTCCATGGTGTGATTCTGTCCAGTAAAGACGGAGTCAGTGGGTGGTTCTGAGGCACAATGGGAGCTTCAAGGAAAGAGGGGGGCCCCTAGTGATTTCTCTAGCACCCTTGACATGTGAGTCATTTGAACCCAGCTAGTTTTTGTTTGTTTATTTGTTTGTTTTGGGTTTTTTTGCCATACTGGTGACCCTGAGTAAGACAGTTACTTCTGAAGAAAAATGCTGAGAACATGCATGTTGGCGAGTTGGGAGGAGCTAGGTAGGGTGAGATTACTGCTGTGGAGGGGTCAGTGAGCGGCTTTGGTGTAGCCTGATTTGGGGGAGAAGTGTCCGCTTTTCTTCTTTTTGTTTATTATTTACATGGCCCCATGAGTTCTATTTCATCTGGTGTCATAGCCGTCTCTCAGCCCCTCTTTTGCTTCCTGATTGCTTCAGACCTTCTCTACTATTGAGCACTCTGCTGATTTCCTATTTCTAGACTCCTTGCCCATTGCTCTGGCCTCATGGCCACCTCTGCAGGAAGCCCAGGTTCTTCTTCCATTATTATTATTTTTAAAATTAATTAATCATTTTTATTTTATGTACATTGGTGTTCTGCCTGCTTATATGTGTGTGAGAGAATGTCAGATCCCCTGGAACTGGACCTACAGACAGTCATGAGCTCCATGGGTGCTGGGAACTGAACCAAGATCCTTTGGAAGAGCAGCCAGTATTCTTAACCACTGAGCCATCTCTTCACTCTTCAGCTCCCCCTGGTTCCCCATAATGGGGAGGAGTGGTCAGAAGCCCAGCACTGGGTGCCAGGTGTCACATTTATTCTCACTAGGATATCTCTCAAGTCTTCGGAGAGAGTGGGTACTAGCCGTAGCCTGTGACACAAACTTCACAAATGGCTGTGGCTTAGAAGCAGAGCATTTGAAACATTTGTTTCAGTCCCCAACACCACAAAGTTAAAGGTTAAATTAAGAAAAATTGAGAGTTCCACGTCCTCAGTTGCCCTAGCTACATTTTAAGCTCAGGAGCTTAAACACTGTGGCCAGCAGTGTTTATCATGGGCAGCCAGCACTAGAGCGTGGCCATCTTCGCAGGGATCCCTGCCCAGTGCTGTTTTTTCTAGACACTTCCCACTGGAAAGTCCTGAGTTCCTGCCCAGCGCTGCTGTTCTGGTCCCACCCTACAGAGTTCCTCCTTTCTTCTCATTCTACATCTAAGTCTCTTCTCCCCAAGTCAGAACGCCACTTCCAATGCCAGCCCTGTGGGGTGCATTTCTAAATTGCTCTGCTCATAGATGCAGAAAAAACCCTAATAAGGGTTTGGTATGTTTGCAGGTCTCTTTTCATGTTCTTGTGACTTTATACATTCTTGCCTCTCCCTCATCAGTGTGGTTTCAGTTAGCCATTGCTGTTTGCATTGAATTCTAGATTTTTTTTTTTTTAATTACCTTAGTTGACTTTTTTTGTTATTTTGACAGGGTTTCTCTCTGTAGACCATGCTGGCCTCAAACAAACCCAGAGGTCCATCTGCCTCTGCCTCCCAAGTCCTGGGATTAAAGGTGTGCATCACCACCCATCACTGGCCTACTTTATTGTATTTTTAAGACGTTAACCTGCTTGCAGCAGTTGAGCTGGTCTTAGAAAGTGCTCTTGGGCACTTGTGGCTCCTTCCCCCGTGAGCCACCCCGCCTTTTGATAATAGGATTGCGAACTCTCACTTCCCTTTTCCTTACCACCGAGGGCACACAGTCTTTCAGCTTAGTCCTCTTGTGTACGACCGAAGGCATCTCCCAGCGCTTACAGCGTGATGCTGCCTAGAAGGCTCTGAGTGTCTGTAGTCGTGTAAGCTGAGGGCCAGCAGCTGGTGCCATGCGGCCGCGCTGCGTCTGCTGGCTTTGGGATTGTCTGGGGCTGCTTGACCGGTGGGACCTGGGGAGGTTCTGTGCTGACCAGGCCATAGCTACGGTAAGCAGTGATGATCTCACCTGTACGTTTACAGCAGGGTGTACAGATGAACTAGCAACCTGGGAAGGGACCGGGTGTTTATGGAGTGCTTATCTAAGGCTGGCCCTGTGCTAGTTGCCCAGAATATGCCACCTCAACAGTGGATGTTAGCCCCCCACACACTTTTTTTTTTTTTTTTAACCATAGGTAGACTTCTTCCTGTCCATCTGTCTATCCATTCCCTTGCCTTCCTGCCTGGAAGCTTATTTGAGCTCTGTGTGTGTGTTTGAAGCAGACATTGGGACATTATGAATAAAGCTGGGCTTTAACGCCGCT